TTTGAGGTGTATTTTCATATAGTTTTTATGGCTATATTCTCGTTTTTGTAGTCACATTTGATAGAATGGAAAACATTTGATAGAAATAGAGGTGATTTTGATTGGTTTTAGTGTGAAAAAGACCTTGAAATGGAGCTCAAAGTAGGGGAAATGTTTGATTTTTGCCAATGTTCAAGAGTAAATAAATGATGTCATTGTCCAATAAATGTCCAACTAGCCATTCTAATATGCAGTCATGAATGGGTTGATGTTATTTATACAATTATTACAGTATTGCAGTAGTCTGCATAACAGTAAATCTTCTATTTTTTGTTTGAATAAAAATTCAAAATAGAAAGCAAGAGTAATGTCAGATGGGCCTCGAGACATGGCTCATGAACAAAGAAAATGTTATTTTAAAGCCAAGAATGTCTGCATTGTTCATTCTGGACCTTATTTTGAAATTGGCATACTTTTTAATTTGTGTGAAATTGGCCAAATTGGCAATTTCTGACCACTATTGGGTAGTTGAAATTGGTAACTGGGCAGTTTCTTGTACTCAGTCGATAGAACAAATGGAGTTCTAAAGAAATAGTTATGAGTTTGGTCGACTGGAACAATGGAATTAGCCAAAAATAGGGGTCAAAGTGGGCAAAATCGCCAATTCGTAAATATCGCCGAGGTCGCTAACTTTGAGAGAGCATAATTCCATACGATTTCCATCAAATTTCATACTTTTGGTGTTATTACCACTGGGAAAAGATTCTCTATCCTTTCATAAGAAAAAATTATTTTTTTTTTTTTTTGTTTCAAATATTTTGCGACACCAGGAGACACCTCAGGATTTGGGGCTTCGACAGTCAAAGGGTTAAGAACGATAATAAATTTGTTGTTAGGCATAAGAATTAACAACTGAGTGTCTACACTGCAAACTGAATTGTTTGCAATCCTAATGGTGCTAAAGCTAACCTATTACACTGAGCTTGACTCTATCTTCATTACTGATTCTGTATCATCATTGAATGCCTTTTTTTTTTTTTTTTTTTTTTTTTTTTTATTAACACATCGGCCGATTCCCACCAAGGCAGGGTGGCCCGAAAAAGAAAAACTTTCATCATCATTCACTCCATCACTGTCTTGCCAGAGGGGCGCTTTACAGTAGAGTTATAAAACTGCAGCATTAACACCCCTCCTTCAAAGTGTAGACACTGTACTTCCCATCTCCAGGACTCAAGTCCAGCCTGCTGGTTTCTCTGAATCCCTTCATAAATGTTACTTTGCTCACACTCCAACAGCACGTTAAGTATTAAAAACCATTTGTCTCCATTCACTCCTATCAAATACGCTCATGCATGCTTGCTGGAAGTCCATGCCCCTTGCACACAAAACCTCCTTTACCCCCTCCCTCCAACCCTTCCTAGGCTGACCCCTACCCCGACTTCCCTCCACTACAGATTTATACACTCTTGAAGTCATTCTGTTTTGTTCCATTCTCTCTACACATCCGAACTACCTCAACAACCCCTCCTCAGCCCTCTGGATAATAGTTTTGGTAATCCCACACCTTCTCCTAATTTCTGAACTACAAATTCTCTGCATTATATTCACACCACACATTGCTCTCAAACATGACATCTCTACTGCCTCCAGCCTTCTCCTCGTTGCAACATTCATCACCCATGCTTCACACCCATACAAGTGTGTTGGTACAACTATACTCTCATACATTCCCCTTTTTGCTTCCACAGACACAGTTCTTTGTCTCCACAGACTCCTCAGTGCACCACTCACTCTTTTCCCCTCATCAGTTCTGTGATTCACCTCATCCCTCATAGACCCATCTGCTGACACGTCCACTCCTAAATATCTGAATACATTCACCTCCTCCATACTCTCTCCCTCCAATCTGATATCCAGTCTTTCGTCACCTAATCTTTTGGTTATCCTCATAACCTTACTCTTTCCTATATTCACTTTTAATTTTCTCCTTTTACATACCCTACCAACCTCTGCAACTTCTCTTCAGAATCTCCCAAAAGCACCATGTCATCAGCAAAGAGCGACTGTGACAACTCCCACTTTGTATTTGATTCTTTATCTTTTAACTCCACACCTCTTGCCAAGACCCTCGCATTCACTTCTCTTACAACCTGATCTATAAATATATTGAACAACCATGGTGACATCACACATCCTTATCTAAGGCCTACTTTTACTGGGAAATAATCTCCCTCTCTCCTACATACTCTAACCTGAGCCTCACTATCCTTGTAAAAAAAATTCACATAATGACTCCTACAACATGCTCATTGGAGAAGCCAGATATAGATACTCAAAAATCAGGGACAAAGGAATTAGTGTACAATTGCTATGGATCCCATCACACATTGGATTACTCCTTCATGATAAAGTTGATATGTTAACCAAGAAGAGCACCCAGGAGGAGAATGTAGAATATAACTTTGATATATCTGTGTCTGGCATTAGGAATAATATTAGGAGAGAAGTAAATAATGAAAATGATTGTTATAGGAATGCAGTTAGAAGGCTGAGTAGATCTATAGCCCACTATGATAACATGAATGTAGGTAAGTATGTTTATGGAGCAACGTGCAATGTGAATAGACTGACTGACGTTGTAGTGGCCAGGCTTAGGCTTGGTTACAAGTACTTCTGGCAGTTTGGGAGAAACACAGATGATGATCAAACTAAATGTAAATTATGTGATCAGGCATATGGTCACTGTCTTGAACACTGTGCTTAATTGTCCATTTATTGAGGAGTACAGAGACAGACAGTATAATAACCTGTGTGACATGTCAAGATATCTTATTAATGAAAATAAGATACCAGATATACTAAGTAAATTTACTAAATTTGCTTGTAGCAGATAAGTGAACTGTAGATATATAGCTAAGAAAAAACATATGTACACCTGTTAACCCTTTTGGGGTCTAGTTCCTAGGTCTTTTGTATATCCATATGCTCTTGTGCTACTGTTCACAGAATGGATATGGGGCGCACAACAAACTATCCACTTTGGTGGCAAAAAAAAAAAAAAATAATCTTCTCCGCTCTTTTACTCTCCACTTACGTCCACCCTTCTTATATCACTTCTGCTTTGTAAAAAACCTCTCATAAACAACCTTTTTCTCTTTTATCTCATCCTTTACCTCATTCCACCAATCATTCCTGTAGCAACAAACTTCTACCCCACATTCTAACACTGCCTTTTTAAAACTATCCCACCCCTCTTCAACTCCCACACTACCTATACTCTCACTAGTCAACCTTTCTCCCAATAGTTGCTTATATTTCACCCTAACTTCCTCTGTTTATAAACTTTTACCTCTCTCTTACTGCTGTTGTCATTTTCCTTTTGCTCTAACTGTAGCTACAACTAAATAATGATCAAATATATATGTTGCCCCTCTATGAACATGCATATCCTGAAATCTACCTGTCAACCTTTTATCCACCAATACATAATCTAACAAATTACTTTCATTACGTGCTATATCATATCTTGTATACTTATCCTCTTTTTCTTATAATATACATTTAAAATATGTATTATTTTTAGAGTTTTATAATCTAGGATATATCTAAACTCTAATTTATATCTGTGCTTATAAATCTTCTTTTATAAAGATATATAGAAAGTACAGTGGACCCCCGGTTAACGATATTTTTTCACTCCAGAAGTATGTTCAGGTGCCAGTACTGGTCGAATTTGTTCCCATAAGAAATATTGTGAAGTAGATTAGTCCATTTCAGACCCCCAAACATACACATACAAACGCACTTACATAAATATACTTACATAATTGGTCGCATTCGGAGGTAATCGTTATGCGGGGGTCCACTGTACTGGCAATTAATTTTGTCAGCCAGTCACCATTGTTGTTACAAGCTGCGGTAACTCGTGAAAATAGCCTTTACTTTTCTGTTTACTATGTCTGAGTTGCCTGGTAGTGTTTCTGCCCAGGAGAGAGAGCCCAGAAACTTCTTTTTGCAATTGTACATGCTAACTATTTTGTCAGTTTGATGGTACAACTTACTTCAGTTTCTCAATTTGTATTATAGATCATTTTTGTGGAATTTATGCAGTTATTTTATATTTAATGAACAGGCTGTATAAATAATTTAACATGCAGGTTCGGACTCCTCAGTAGCGTTGAGAGTATGTTTGCCCTGCACTATAGAGGGTTCAGAAGCAGGGGAACATAGATGTGATATTTAGTCCTCAGATCATGACCAGCTCCTACAGTTGTTCTAAACCACTACAGACACTTCCCAACCCTATTCACTTTTCAGGGTAATGTTTAACTTGTATTTTACAATTTTGTAATTATAACAGATTGCATAAATAGTTCCAGTGTAGCTGCATTTTGAACCCTGTCACAGGGATATTGTGCTTGTATGTCTACTAAGCAGTTAAGAGTTTATGCTCATTTGCTTTTTTTATATATACCATTTCTTACGTATGCAATATTGAGATGTTTGTCGACATTAAAAACATTCGAGTGTGGCATAAGAGGGGTTGTCGAAATGGTTTAGACTTAGAAATAATGGAGCAAGGTACTGTAGGTTGACTGAAAAGGTGTAAATCTGTGGTTGATGATGGAAGAATTAGGGGGCATCTAAGGAAGGGTTGGAAGGAGGCAATGATGGCAGTATTGAGAGGTATGGGCTTTAACACCAAGTAAGCAGATGTGAGCCAAGGACAGTGAGCATAGTAATATCTGTGAAGGGATTCAGGGCAATGGGTTAGTCAGACTTGAGGTACAGGGGTGTTTGGACAGTAGGGATGGTGCTGTTTGGTGGCTCTTAATTAGATTTGTCTTGTGTCCTGCAAAAACATCTAGGGAACATGTAAGTAAGTAATGGTAAATGGGGCTTTTCCTTTAGGTCCCTTGCCCATGGTGGGAAATGGCATTTTTAGTAAAATGGCTTTAAGTTTAAGTATTGTAACTTGTTATTATCACATATAAGCAAATAATAAAATAAATTCTTTATAGTGTCTTTGCAGGGGGTCCTATTCCATATCCAAAGAGAGAATTTCTGTCGGATGAAGAGCAGGATGATAAATCTGATAATAAGGTAAGTTGAAATAAAGAAATAAATCTTGAATCTGTTAAGATGGATAAGGTTATGCTTCATCTAAGATTAAACATTTCTATTACAAATGCTTGCTTTTGCATAAGTGTGATTGGCTTTGGTGTAAGAGATCAGATTACTAGTTTCATATGTCAAGACATGATGGTTAAATACAGAATGGGGATTTTATTTTTGCTTTCTTTTTTTTTTTAAATTTTAAGTGGTAAGAATGTGAAGAAATGAATTTATTGTAAACACTTTTTTAAATTTAATACAGTGGACCCCCGGTTTACGATATTATTTCATTCCAGAAGTATGTTCAGGTGCCAGTACTGAATGAATTTGTTCCCATAAGGAATATTGTGAAGTAGATTAGTCCATTTCAGACCCCAAACATACACGTACAAATGCACTTACATAAATACACTTACATAATTGGTCACATTGGGAGCTGATCATAAAGCGGGGGTCCACTGTATATATTTTTTTGAAACAGGTATAAACAAATGAGAATTATATGGAAAATGAATATTCAAGACGAGATTACCTTTGTTAAAGGAGTGGAGTTTTCATGTTGCATAAGGCTTTAAAAATACAGTTAGAGTAGATATTCTGTATAGTTATTACTATCAGACAGTAAGAAATTGCACACGAGAGAGATGAGTGAATTTATGAAGTCTTTTTCTGTAATAGTAAGCCTTGTTACATATTAGTTTGTACTGTATATATGAAGAAAAAAAGAAAAAAACATAGATGAATTATAGATAATACTGGAAGTCCCTGCTCATACAGCTCTATATATGGTGCTGGTTGTCCTTCCTTTGCGCAACTGTTGCACGAAAATGTCAGTAACAGCAGTGCAGCGATAAAAGCACCAAACATAATGAACAGTGGTTCAGTTGAAAGCCAACAAAAATGTGGAACACTGAAAATAGGTTCTGTATACGTGGGGCCCTGCTGTATACGTGGAGCCCTGCTGTATGTGTGGGGGCCCTGCTGTATATGTGATGCCCTTCTGTGCAGAAAATTAATTGGCATTAATAAATGAGCTCAAATAATAGGGCATGGAAAGTAAAGCAGTTGTAGTGATGATAATAATGTATGGGTGCACCTTAAAGAAGGTATTTGGGATATTTGCTGTTTGGGGGAACATCTTAACTGTTGTATCTGGCAAGACAGTGATAGTATGAATGATGGTGAGAGTGATTCTTTTTTTGGGTCACCCTGCAGCGGAAGACAGCCAGCGTGTTAAAGAAAAAATTAATGAATTAATGTTGATGGATATTCAGGTGGAATACTGTGACTTGAGTTTCTTCAAAATGCTGTGCATAATATGGCCTTTTTAAATTATTATACTGTATCTTACATAGTGCTAGTCACGGCATTATGTCGGGTGAGCCCTCCGGCATAATGCCGTGATGAAAATCAAAGGCCTTCCATACACGGGGGGGGGGGTCTTTTTTTCTCAGTGCATTATCCCAGGTAGCAGCTGGTAGCATGATGTCACAGCCTGCTGCCACACTCCACAGTAACTCCTCAGTGCTCACATCACTGCTGTGGTGAGAGGAAGTGTTGCACTTTTGTCTCTCATCTGCCCCATCTTTTGTCCTGTGTTCCCTTTGGTTTTGGGGCTATACATGTTTGATTATGGGTAAAAGGAAGTCTTTAACACCTGAAACTACAGCTCAAATCATAGAGCTTCACAAAGCTGGGCACCAGGCAAAAGAAATAGTGGAGAATGTTGGTGTGTGTGAGCATTCATTGAGGAACTAGGTGCAGTGTTTCAAGGCTGGTGGCAGTGTCTAGTTACCGTCTGCCAAACCTCGGCCTGGCCCCTTGAAGAGGACATCTGACCATACCTTAACTATGTTAAAGAAGCAGTTAGAGAGTACATCTAAGATAACTGCTAGAGAATTGAAAGAAAAGAATTCGCATCTTCTCTCAGAGGTGTCTGTAAGAACTGTTAACAGATGTGTGTCAAAACTGAGCTACAGTACTCACCGCCAGGTTAAGAAACTGATTCTCTCCAATCCACAGAATAACCGTAAGCTGGATTATGCAAAGAAATATCTTCACTGGAATCCTCATCAGTGGTGTGAAGTACATTGGAGTGATGAAGCAACCTTCACCATCACCTGTAACCATGGGGAAGATGTGTACCGGCCCAGAGGTAGTGACCCGCTAGGCCCACGCTACACCTGTGAAACCATCAAACTCCCAGACTCGCTCATGGTTTGGTGTTTCACTGCTCAGAGTGTTGGTGAACTCATTGTGCTTCCCAAAAACCAGTATAATTACCTGGAGTTATTGTGTGACAATTTACCTTAGGCATTTAACAAGTGTGGGGCTACGGTTTTTATGCAGGATGGTGCACCGTGTCATACCGCCATATCTGTAGTTCAGTGGCTTAAGAACTGTAAAGTGAGGTTCTTTAATGGCTTGCCAGGCAATTCCTTAGACCTAAACCCTATTGAGAACCTCTGATCAATAGTGAAACGAAGTTTACTGGGCAAGGATATCAGTTCCATCCTGCAACTGGAGGCTGCTTTACATGAGGCATAGAATAATATTCATTGGACCCTTGGTTTTTGAGAGTCTCAGTTTTTGTGAATTTTAGTTATAGGCAACTTTTTTTGTCAAAATAGAGCCTTGGTTTTCATGATTTCCCTTGGATTTTGGCAGTCATATGGCACGTGTCCCAGTGGCCCTGTGCACACAAAGCCTCCCACAGATGCATTCAAGAGTCAGTCTGGCATTGTTTCTCAGCAAGTGAGCATAACCTCCCCCCTCCCTGGTGTTCATATGAAACATTTCGTAATAATCGATTTTTTTTTTTTTTTACAACTGCTAAATAAGCCTGTTATGGAATGTATTGTGGCATTGGGGAATTCTATGGGTTTGGATGTGAGTGGCCAGGATGTGGAAGAGTTGGTGGAGAACCACAGTGAAGATCTAACCACTGAAGAGCTGCAAGAGCTTCATCTCTAGCAGCAACAGACCACAGCTGAGGAAATTGCTTCACAGGAGGAGGAAGAGAGAGGGAAGAAGGTGCCTTCTTCAAAGGTTAAAGGACATTTGTGCAAAGTGGAGTGAGGTGAAAGCATTTGTGGATGAATCACCCTGACAAAGCTGTTGTAGGCCATGTCTGCGACATATTCAATGACAATGCCTTGTCCCATTTTAGGCAAATCTTAGAGATGCCACAAACATAGCTCTCTGGAACAGTTTTTTGAGCTACAGGGGTCCAGTGACTCTCAAGCTAGTCCTAGTGCCATTACAAAACAAAGAAGGGAAGTAGCCCTGGATAAGGACTCGGTACCTAAAGTTTTTATGGAAGGGGATTCCCCTTCCAAACAATAGTAACTTCTTCTCCCTTTCCCCTCCTCCGCCTTCAATACACCAATAAGAGTCTTCAGTAAAGTGTGATGTTATTATTGCTTTATATTGATTTTTCATTCTTTTCTGTATGTAAATCTATATTTAATCTTTAAAACAATTATTTTTTGTTAATACATTTGAGTGTCTGGAATGGATTAATTGGATTTACATTATTTCTTATGGGGAAAATGGTTTTGGTTGTCGTGAATTTTGGATTTCAGCAGACTCTCGGGAACGGATTAATCGTGAAAACCAAGGGACCACTGTACCTCCCCAAACCCTCCAGAATTTGTGTGAGAGTCTTCCTACATGGCTGAGGGACATGATTAAATGTAAAGGACGCAGCACCAAGTATTAACCCTTTCAGGGTCCGTGCCGTAGATCTCTGGCTTTACATTGAAGGTCCAAACCTTAGATCTACGCCATGAGCTCTGCTCACTCTGATAAGCTGTGAGCGGTAAATTTAGGCCTAGATATGAGAGAATATACATCTATGTGGTATGTGTGCACCACATAAAACAAATCCTGCAGCACACAGTGCATAATGAGAGAAAAAAAACTGAGACCGTAATTTTCGATTAACCCTTTGACTGTTTTGGTCGTATATATATGTCTTATGAGCCAGTGTTTCGGACGTATATATACTCAATAATTCTAGCGGCTTCAAATCAAGCAGGAGAAAGCTGGTAGGCCCACATGTGAGAGAATGGGTCTGTGTGGTCAGTGTGCACCACATAAAAAAAATCCTGCAGCACGCAGTGCATAATGAGAAAAAAAACTGACTCTTTTTTTTTGGGGGGGGGATTAAAACGCCGACTTTGAGGTGTATTTTCGTATAGTACCGTGGACCCCCGGTTAACGATATTTTTTCATTCCAGAAGTATGTTCAGGTGCCAGTACTGACCGAATTTGTTCCCATAAGGAATATTGTGAAGTAGATTAGTCCATTTCAGACCCCCAAACATACACGTACAAACGCACTTACATAAATACACTTACATAACTGGTCACATTGGGAGGTGATTGTTAAGCGGGGGTCAACTGTATTTATCATTGTATTCTCGTTTTCATGGTCTCACATGAAAAACATATTGCAGAAATAGAGATGATTTTGATTAGTTTCACAATGAAAACTACTTTGAAATTGGGCTCAAAGTACCGGAAATGTTCGATTTTTACCAATGTTCAACAGTAAGCAAATCACCCCATACGTCCAATACACGTCAACTGGGGAGTCTAATATTCTTTCACTAGTGCACTGATATTATTTATACCATTTTTACAATAATGCAGTAGTCTGCATAACAGTAAATTTTGTATTTTTTTTGTATGAATAAAAAATCAAAATAGAAAGCAATAGTAATATAAGAGGGGCCTAGAGACATGACTAATGAACAGAGGATATGGTATTTTAGTGCCAAGAATGTCTACATTATTTATTCTGGACCCTATTTTGAAATTGGCATCTTTTTTAATTTGCATGAAATTGGCCAAATTGCCAGTTTCTGACCACTTTATTGGGTAGTTCAAATCGGTAAATGGGCAGTTTCTTGTACTCCGCTGATAGAAAAAATGGAGTTCTAAAGAAATAGCTATGAGTTTGGTCAACTGGAACCACAGAATTGGCCAAAAACAGGACTCAAAGTCGGTGAAATCGCTAATGCGTATATGTTGCCGAGACCGCTGACTTTGCGGGAGCGTAATTCTGTGAGTTTTTGACCAAATTTCGGACTTTTGGTGTCATTACCATCGGAAAAAGATTCTCTATCTCATTTCATAAGAAAAATATTTTTTTTTTTTTTTTTTTTATTTATTTTTTTTTTTTTTTTTCAAAAATTTTGCAACATAGAATGACAGTTTCAGAGAGGGGCTTGTGACAGTCAAAGGGTTAATATTCACTGATTGCTAAAACTTAACATTTAGCCATTAAAACTGTCGTAATAATTACCCCAGAAAATGATAATTTGGTCAATTTTACACTTTTCAATAAATTTCAGTTTTAACCCTTTGAGGGTCGACAGGCCCTCTCCGAAACTCGTTCTCAGGGTCGGCCAAATTTCAAAAAAAAAAAAAATTATTTTTTCTTATGAAAAAATAGAGTTTTTTTTTCTAAACATTATAGGATAAACAAAAAATTTTACCATCAATACTTACGGAGATATGGATGCATGAAGTTTGCAGAAAATGAGCCGCGTATGGCAACAGCGGCGACTGCCGCTCACCCGGTAAACTTTGATTTACTTGTATTTGAAGGTTTGTTGTTTTTTTCACTATTTTATTTTTTCACATAACTTATGTGGCCTGTGAGACCAAAGTAAGGTGCAATGTACATATATACACTCGTTGTATACAACACAATAAGCACACAAACATAATTATCAATATATTGTTTACAAAACTTGTTTACAAAAACAAACAATACAAAACATTGTTTATTATTATTGTTCTATAATATATATACCAATATACAGTCACTGAACATATTCCTATTAGTTCTGCAGCTTGTGGAACTCTGAAACATGGTGTCATACACAATGGTGTTTTATCTTTCTCCCCTCATTCTATCTCTTTCAATCTGTCTCTCTCTTTCTATCTGTCTGTCTATCTCTGTCTCACAGGTACACATAAATACAAGTATACATAGTATAAATTACCTAGGATAACCCAAGAAATCCAGACAAAGTGCTATACTCTGCTTGAAGATGTGAGTAAAAGTGATGACACAGTCTTGTGGCTCTCTGAGACAGAGAGCTAGACGGATAGACAGATAGACAGGGAGCTTGACAGACAGACAAATAGACAGACAGAAATGTTAGTGTACCAGTACCAGTGTACTAGTGTTCCACCCTCCTCCTCCTCTTCTTCCTCTTCCTCCTCTTCCCCCTACTCTTCCTCATACTCTTCCTCTTCCTCCTCTTCCTCTTCCTCCTACTCTTCCTCTTCCTCCTCCTCCTCTTCCTCCTCCTCCTCTTCTTCCTCTTCCTCCTCCTCCTCTTCCTCCTCCTCCTCTTCTTCCTCTTCCTCCTACTCTTCCTCCTCCTCCTCTTCTTCCTCTTCCTCCTCTTCCCCCTACTCTTCCTCATACTCTTCCTCTTCCTCCTCTTCCTCTTCCTCCTACTCTTCCTCTTCCTCCTCCTCCTCCATTCTTGGAACAAGTTTGAAGAGCTTGTAGTTCATAATCACTATCATTATCATCACCAATGCTCACATCTGAGTCTGGGATTTTGGAAAATAGGAGTTTCCTCTTTGATTCTGGTACAACTGAACGACGGCCCAGCACCAGAGGTGGAAGGCTGTGGGTTGTCTGGGTTTTCCTCACTATTACTCATATTATGGTCATTAGTTTCGGTCAAAACCTCACCAGAACCTTGAAACTCATCTTCACTGTCACTTCCATCTGTATTAGAACTGTCACTGGGGAACAAAAGTGTCCCAATTCGCCGAGGAGTGAGGAACTTCTAACCGCAGGGCACGGTGGAAATTGTGTACTATGATGGCATTCCCACAATGCACCACTGGGTCCCAGATTTTTTTCCTACTGCGCACACCCACCACACAGACCCATTCTCTCACATCTAGGCTTATCAGCCTTTTCCTGCGAGATTTGAGGCCGCTAGAATTTATGCGTACTAGTACGTCAAAAACCCCTACGCGTAAGACGTACTAGTACGACCAAAACCCTCAAAGGGTTAAAAGAGGAGCCAAAACAAACACTGTAGGCATTCCAGCCACTGAAGCAACCCTCCCACTGTTATTTGTCTTGTCTCCAGGTCCCTCCATTTGGAATCGATCATCACATAAATTTGACATCTTTCCCTATTTCTCGGCTAATAAACCATAACCAAGAATGCTTGGTCTTGGTTTAGGCCATTGCAGTAGTTGAAGTAGACCTAGTAAAAACCCATAAAATAAGTTGGGGGAGGCATACTCTTTCCCAAGAAAACTGTCAAAAATTCAACTATTTC